GCCAGCTTCCCGGCTTTCGTTCTCGAGAGCTTTATCCTTCGCATGTTTTTTTTCTCCTCCCTCCTCGGTGTTTGGCACTTTTCAAAAAGCGGCGCCCGATCGCTGCAAGCCCTGGCTGCCGTTCGGCGCGGTGCGGAATGAGCCGCCCCGGTTCTCCTGCGCGGTGGCAGTAGCAGGCGGGGAAAGATGCCCCCTGCCCCCCGGGGCTCCCCGCAGCACGCCCGGGCTCCCAGAGGTGTCGGCGCCGCCTGAGCAGCCGACGGGGACGCGAGGCGGGTAAGAGGGCGCTGAATGCATGCGCGACGCGAAGCTACCACTTGCCATGTGTGCTAGTAGCACCTGGCTTTGGCAGCTCCCCCGTGCCGGGTAGTCGGGGGGGAGCGGCGGCGGGGGAGGGCGGCGGGGAGGCAGGCCCGCGCCGCCGCCGGGATCATGATGAAGGAGGAGTGCAAAGCGCTGCTGGACGCGCTCAACAAGGTGACCGCTTGCTACCGGCACATGGTGCTGACCATCGGCGGCACCTCGGACTCCCAGAACCTACGGGAGGAGCTCAAGAAAACCCGGCAGAAAGCCCAGGAGCTAGCGGTGGCCAACAGGAACAAGCTCACCACGGTCCTGAAGGACAAAACCGTGAGTAAGGAAGATAAAGCCGAGTTCGAGAGGCTATGGGTGATTTTCTCCACGTGCCTAGAGATCCTGGAGATCGACATGAGGAGAGCCCTGGAGCTGGGCCACGAGTTCCCACTAAACGTCCCCAAAAAGCACCTGATCCAGACAGGCATGAGCGGGGGAACCTCTGGCGTGGCCGCCAGGGCGATGAGTGTCCAGAACATGAAATACGAGGCTGAGCACAATATAGACGTGGTGGATTTGAAAGACCTCGAGAACGAAATCAACCAGGTAGGAGAGATGATGTACGAGATGGAAATGAAGGTCAATGTCCCCCAGTGGACAGTGGAGGCTAAGCAAGACCCAGGGGCTGAACTAAAATCCACCGTCAGCGCGGGTGCTTCTTCTATTGGCATGATCTCTGTGGAGGAAAATAAATCCTTCTGCGATATCAGCAAAGTTCTAGCTGGGATTATTTTCTCCGCTGTGCTCATTATCGCTATTGTCCTGGCAGTGTGTGTGGTAAAACTCTCTTAGGGTGGTGCAGGCTCTGGCAAGAGCGACCCCCCCCTCCCGTCTGTCTTTGGGGAGTTTCACACCTGAGTTTTAATTTCAAAACGGGTCACTCGGATGAGCTGAGAATTTAAACCTAGCACTTGAAAAAACAAAGCAAAACTTTTGCTTCTCAGTATCCTAAAATGCACGATTTGTTTCTTCCTGCTTTTTGAAGAAAAGAGATGCAAATCAGCCGGCAGAATAGGATGTCTTCATCTGCTGGACTTGTAATGGTTAACTATGAAGTATCAGGGTATTATCACTACTGGCTATAACAGGGATTTGTCTGCTATTAATAGATCACTATTCTCAGAAGCCTGTATTTTTTGTTCTTGAATAGGCTCTGGTGTTTGTTGCTGGTCACTGTTTACAGTATTTGAGAGCAATACAAATCTGGAGGCTAACACAGGTGCTTTGTCCGACAAAGTGAATAGAATACTTTTTTTTTTCAGCAAATACACAAAATGTTATTTCAGTGGAGGAAAAGGGGAAGGATGAAAACCCCAATAAAAAAATGTAAACAACCTCTATTTTAGATAAGTTAATGGTTGGGGAGGGGGGAGGTGTGGAGGAGGATGGAGAAAACAGAACAAGCAATGTTTGATACCAAATACTGTTTGTTGATTTAGACTGGATTGTACAGAACCCGGTTGCATGGGTTGGCAGAGCATACACGAATGACTAATGGCTTTCCAAATCCAGAGAGAAAAGAGGGAGAGTTGCACATTCAGAAAAATAACTAGCGAGCCTCATGGTTCTCATCCACATTTACCACGATTTTGTCTTCCCCTGCATAAAGGCTGATTCTTGCCACTGGTTCAAATTTTTCTTTCTGTAGAAGCAAACAGTTTGCACTTCACAATTAACTAGGAAAATAGAAGCAATGAATCTACCCACAGCAGAAGCAGTAATTTTTCAAAACAGATTTTGGCTAACAAAAATGATGTCGAGTTAAAGCAGACCTTTCTAATAATTCAAAAAGAGATCCCCTCTCATGTTGACAGGCAGGGATTGGTGCCTGTGTATGTACAGTCACATTGCTGCAAGCTCCTGAATTCTTTGCAGAAATCCAGACAAAGCTAAAAACGTGTCTCAGTTTCACATCTCATTCATGTCTGATTAACCACTTGGGAAACGGGAAGCCTGCAGGATTGGTCCAATTTGATACACTGCAATTTTGGGAGGTAAATGCAAGAGCAGCATAAAACTTTCCACTGCTTCCCTATAAAATTGTCAACGTTTAAATGTAAAACTGGGGGGATAGACACAAACTTGGCAGAGAAACTCTATAATGTTTTGTAAAAGGACCTATGTTTTATGGTATCTATTATGTAACTTACAGAAATGTCTTCTGTTACTGTGAACACACACTGTCCATTCCAAGAATGCCTGGTACACACTTTATAGTGCCATAGGTGTATGAGGCACTCCACAGGCAAATATAAAGACCCTGTAATACTGGGGTTTTAATAATTATTCTTCTGCATTGATTGTTATGGACACATTATCAAAAAGTAACAATCATCAGACATGTTTTGTGAAGTTATTAGACAATAGTCTTCATGCTTGTTAAATATTATGTTGACAACACTCAAAACCAGCTAATATTTTTGAGTTAAGAACTAAACATACTTTGAAAAACTGCAGCAAAGTTTATTCTTTAAAAATTAAGAGAACTGGATTTGCAGAGAAGTGTGTGACAAATTTGAATCTGGTCACTTGTAGGTGAGAAAAAAAAACATAGGTGAGGAAAAATAGTAAGTGGAGGCCTGAATTAAAGGCTATAGACTATCATTACGTTGAAGGATAACGGAAGTTCTGCACATTGATCCAGTCTAGCTCCATTCTCGTGGGAATTCACAGTTTTTTGTAAGATGACTCCACATTCCTTTCTATTGTATTTCACTCATTCCATAGGATGTGCTTTATATGTAGTTAATCTAGGTTCATAAAGATCCCTGGCAGCATTCTAACAGTCAAGCCTGTATTTATCGGTGCTACTGTTTTGGTCTGTCTAGACAAGGTGTAATTGCTGTGTGTTGATTTAAATGAGAAGATGTCCTTCACAATCATATTGAGTAAACATATTTATGGAAAATACAGCAAAAGCTGCAGGAGAACGTACATATTTGGATTGCCACCACTAGTCACTAAGGATTTGTGGGTATTTTCACTCTTTGCACTCTCCTTTTACTTAGTTCACAGGAAAGTAGATAAGAAGTTGGACTCTGAAAACTCCATGTTCCTTTTGAAATCAGATCGTTTAACCACATGTTCTGAAAACCCAGGTAATGCAAGTCTGGTTTCTGGAGGATAAGTAAATGGTAACACCTACAGCATTCATTATCTTGTATCTTGGTATCCTGAAGTGGGTATACTGTTTATCCACGGTTAGTTGCGTAGAAGAATTTTTAAGAATAGGTAATCTCATCTTCAAAAGCAAGCCTCGGTGAGTTGGTAAATTGTAAATTTTCAGTCCATTGCATTTTTTGGAATTTGTTTTTTTGGATACAGGACTCAAAGAATTCATATAAGTAGCCTATAAGTGTGTAAGTCTTGCTTCATTATGAATACGCACACAATTAGTATTTAAAGGATTGGACCTTGGAAAAGTAATGTATTTTCAGATCTTAAGACAAAGCTGGCTGCAGATTTATTCATCATTAGTTTGTTCCTAAAAATCTGTATCATCTTATATTTAGGCTATCTGAAATTAAAAGATCAAGTAGAATTCTAACAGATGATTGGCACCATCTAAATGGATAATGTTCCTGCCATTAATCTCCTACACTTGATACATGTATACACTCAACGTGACAGAGTTCAGGCACAACAGCGCACAAAATCAAAACAAGATGAAATGACCATTGCCCAAAAGTACTGATGCTTCTTCTAAATTAAAAAATAAAGAGATGTTGTAGATCTGCAGTCTTCATTCTTTTCCCCACTGGAATGCAACTGGAAGGAGAGTGGAAATGCTATTTTTGTGAGTGAAAAATGGGAAGTCAAACTTCAAAATACTCTACATTTAAATAGCATGATGAAAATGCAAATACTCTCATGCTGATCAGTGAATGAGAATGTTACTGTGTTTTCAGTACAAAAGAAGATGGTCATTGCTTCATTTCAATGTTGTTCTACTTCAGTTCTTTTGTCTTTATTCACAGGATACACACATTAAATTTGCTGTATACTAAAATGTTATTCCTGACTTGAATTACTAGTTTTGCCTGTGCATGGGTGGTATTTTCTACACTTTGAATAATTGAAACTTGTTACTGTCACTATTTATTTAACTTAAAATAAAGTACATTCTTATAACTTACTGGTTGGCTTGCAGCAGTAATTAAAACCAAACAAAAACTGAAATATTAATACAGCGTGTCAGTAAGCTCTTCAAAATAAAAAGTTCCTATTTCAACCACAGGAATAAAAGTAACATGCTAAGCCCTCTCATTACAGTTTTCTTTACATAAATGCACCCTTCTCAAGCTCCCAAAGTTGAACATAGTGATATATCTTAATTTATACTGCAAGGGAATCAGTAGTCCGCCTTAGAAAACAGCTACAATAACATTTAGGATAACAGGGATGACATTGCCTTCAGCACTGCTTGTTCAGTGTTGTTGAGTGAAGTATGGAACCATTGGCTTGGGCAACTGAAAACTAGAGAACATATTAGACTAGACTAACATATTAGATCCTCACGGTGTTAGGATCCAAACTCTGCCCCCTTTCAGCCAGCAAAGCTTGCATTTACTTTGGCAAAAGATATACACAACCTAAGGAGTGTGAAATTTGGTCCTGGGGTATTGATAGCAACAATGATCAACAGTTCTATCAAACTATCAGAATCAAGTCTGTTAAATGCAGCAATTTGTAATTTTATTTCAGGACTTCCAGCCTATCAGCAAAAATCCTCTACAGTTTTTTAGTTTACTAACAAAATGAACACAGAACCATAGTTAAAATGATTCTCCTCATGTTGCAAACAATGTAACATCAAACTTCAGCATTATGAATGTGAAATAAAGTTAGTTTCAAAATTCATGTAAATATGAAAATATTTTTAATATGAATGCGATTATTTAAAAACAGACTAAACGACTGATTCATTAGCTTTCGGATTAAAAATTAAACACGTGCTTATTTTTTGTAGCCTGAAAGGATTGGTTATAGGCTTTCTTTTCCTTCTCTTATAAGGTTTGTGCTGTTTATGTACATTTTCCAGAAATACCTTATATTTAAGTGCTACTGGAACTCCTAGTCAACATATTTACCCTTCACAGATTTTCATTATGTAAAAAGTCATTCAGTAAGACCAGTGGATTATAGATCTCTAAGTGCTTTCTCTCAATACGATTATGTAAGTCTTTTAATGCAGGAAGAGATCTGGACAAAATAGTAGTCCACACGTGAGCAGCATTTGCTATGGTAAGCATACAATAAAAGCAGGATTAGAAAAGAATGTCTTTCATATAAAATCATCCGCATGTGTTGAGGGAAGGACAAGAAAAGGAAGGAGATGGATGTATGTAAATATGTCTTCATCTTTTGTTAGCAAAGTATGCTTTCTGTTAAATGATGTAATAGCATCACAATGTTAAACTATAGCTTCTCTATAAGAAGGTAGTATCTGATATCCAGTGGGACAAAGAATATAAAATATCCCTGAGTGGAACTGACTACCCATTCTCTGATTAACTCAATACAGAATAAGAGTAAAAATATTTTTATTTGCTACGTGTTGATATCAATTTTACAGAAGACAACCCTTTTCTCTCTGTTTCACACTACAAGGGACTTTCTGTTGGAAGAAGGTGGTCCCAGAAGGCTGGATTCTGTCATCCATCCTAACAGCTTGCTGCTGCAGTACTGTCATGCAGTTGGAAATGTAGCTTAATCAGCTACCACTGATTAAACCTGTGGAAAGGTGAAAAGTCACATGGCATTTAACCAGCATGAAGGGTCTTCTGCATCTTCTCATACGGCCAAGCACAAGCATTTCA